CCTAAGGTTTATAAAAAGTGCCTACAGACGTCCAAGAAGAACAGACAAACTTTATACAAATTTTTGGAGAGCTTTGGTGAGAGAAATAGGAGTAAAACGGGATTTCGGGAAGAAGAAGGAGAGCTGGAACGTGAAGATCGCTTGCTGTCGACATGAGTCTTTCTTCTCCCTCTTTTCTTTTTGTTTCTGGTTTTGCTCAGTGTTTTTCCATGAACGAGAGTAGATCCACGACTGTGGGTTAGGGATTCGTTTCTGTTTTGGGTATGTTTGAACCCTAACTTGGTTGCGATTTGGATTTGTTTCGGTTTTATTGATTTGTGCTTTATTCAATTGGTGTTTGCTGACCCCTTGACCAGTTGTTTTAGATTCTGAACTACATAGGAATATGGGTTTAGTTTCGGATCAAAATCGATAGAATAGATCGTATTATTCACATAGGAATATGGTTTGATCGATCTAGGGTTGATGATAGCGTTCTTCATGCATCTAGGGTTAACTTGAATAGATCGAGAGATTGACGAATTACTCTGTAGGTAGTGAGTTAGTAGACCGAGAGGTGAATTCTCTATCCTTGTTGCTTGACGATCCCGAATACAAGTCATACTCGTAATTCTCGCATGCTTAGCATATACCCATACACGCGAATACGGTCCCGACACCCATGGTCATCATTGCTTGATAGTTTACACGCTTTTATTTGCTTTCTTATTTTATTTTCCATTGATTCCACATATTTCCACCATCACTTCCACTTCCTTGTTTGATTTGGTTTCGATTAGGATTTAGACTTAGCTACCGGTCCTTGCGTTCGACTCCGTGTTACGAAGATCTGTATCCTTGCGTCGAGTTGTGAATCGGGTTATAAATTTTAGACTCGGTACACACGTATGAGTCTCCAAAATAGCAGCAAAAACCAACTGGTCTAACTTCAAAAAACTATTGACAGCAGTTTGCTTCCTGGGGTCGTTAAGCCCTCTTATGTTCCAAAAAAGACCAGACATAAGACACATTGCAGTTGTTATAGCCACCCGACCATGATGGTAGATGGCTGATCAGCAACAACCTTTAAAGAAGCAGTATGGGTTACAGGGGAGGACGGTGGAGATGGCGGGGTACTAGAGGGGAGGGATTGGTAGATAGAGTATCCTGAGGCTGTGCTTGGAGTGTAGGTTGAGGGAGCTTTAGTTCCTCAGTTTGGGTCAATGGGGATGGATCGTGGTCGTTGTTATCGGGGTGAAGAGAAGGTGGGTTGGGATTTAAAACGGGTGACTTTTGAGTAGTTATGGTCTCTTTGCTGGGATTATGGACCGACAGTTTGGGACTGATGCTCTTGGGTTTAGTAAGTCTGGACTGAGGGGGTAGGGGTTTAGTGGGTGCTTGCGGATCTGTGACCGCACTCGAGGAGGGCTCTAGGGGTGGTTGAGCAGATGAAGAGGGGGACGATAAAAGGGGGGGTTGGGTTCCCGGATTTTGCTGCCAAGCCGAGCAGAATTCAGCAGTGTGACCTAGTTCTGCGCAAACCGTGCATTTAGGGGGGAGCCAATGGTAGATAACATCAACAATATCCACTGAACCATCCTCTAACTCCACTTCCACCTCGCATGGTAAAGGTTTAGTGAGATTCGCATCCACTTTTGCATCAACTGCTTTGATGCTTGTAATCGGTTTATATGCCAACGGTTCTCCTATGGCTCCCGCAATGTGGCTGATACCTTCCGAGGTTAGGAGATGGAATGGAACATTGGTGAGGTGTACCCATATTGGCGCCCTGCGGATCGACGGCGGATCCCGTGCGAAATCAGGAGACCACTCGTGCACGAAGAAAGCGTTGCCTCCTATGTGCCACAGTTCCTGGCGCAACACAGCCTCCCTAATGTGAGCGGAGTGAATCCTTACCAGAATGGAGGAGTCATTGAAGGGGTGGATCTCTAGCTTTCGCTCTTTACCCCACAAGTGATTGAGAACAGCAATTATCTTGGGCATCTTCGGAACTTTGCCGTAGAATGTGCAGATGACAAAATTCTGCAGTTGACGAAGACCAGCTTCCACTACCGAACTCGGTACCTTGACACGAGGGTTCCCAGATGGGGAGATAACAGGATCACTTAGGCGGGATAGCTCATATGAGACTCCCCTAAGTCAAGAAGCCCAGGTGGGCTTAACAAGTGCACGCCTTGGTCCTGACGGCGGACCGGTGGCCGGCCGACCATGTGCCTTCGGCGAGATAGGGCGGTCGGAGCTGGCAGAAGGCGCCAGAGTGGGTGGAACAGAAGCTTGAGAATGGGAGCCATCGACCAAATCATTTTGGGTCGATGAATCCTGAGGCGGTGGGTCAAGGGCTGGAGGTAGATTTCTGTCAGGTGTGGGTAAAGGGGGGGGGGAGTTTGTGGGGGCGATCGAGAGGGAGAGGGAGAGGCCAACAAAGGCAGAAACTCCGTTTCGCTGAAATTAGGGCATTTTTGGGGGTGGGGCGGAGGTGGTGAGCGGAGGAGAGATGGAGTATGGGTAGGAGATGGATTAGTAAGGGCGCAATCGAAGATGGGAGGGGGTTTGGGTGGTCGACGTGGGGAGCGCCCTCTCAGCCGCGAGGAGCGGCGAGAGACAACCGGTGAGGTGCTCTCATGTCGATAGTGATTGGTTGTGGAAGAAAGATGAGAGGGAGGAGAGAGATGAGAAGATGGGGTCAATTTCCGCCGACCCATGGGTCGACGACGATGGTGACAGAGAGCTAGGGCACAAGGTGGGCACTCTTCACTCACAGCTCCTCTTCGACAGAAGCTCTCGCTATTTTCTCACCCTTTTCACCTTTTTGTCACTTTTGTTTTTTGTTGTTGAAACTTGAAACCCTTCAATCACTTTACACATGTATATATACACAAATTCATATAATTTAGAAAATTAGCAACTTAATTGTTTCACTAGACTGATTCAATTTGACTATTAGTTTTGTTAGATTCGTAATTATATCATTCTTGTCTTTTTGTCACGTTGTTCACAATGGAAAAAGTAAGAATAGAAACAACTTTTACCAAAAAAGAATAGAAACAGAACCAATTTGATCCTCCAAATTTTCACTTTTTGGTTTGTTGTTGAATTTATTTAATTTTGGAACATCATAAATTAATTACTACAAAGACTGATTAAATTTGACTGTTTTTTGGTGGATCAGTAACTATATGATTTTTATATTTTGGCGATATGTTTGTTTAAGATAAGAATGATGTGTGAAGATGATCTTGTATATTGGATGTATCATAGTTATGAATATGTATTTGAGACAATGTACTAAATGATATGCATGAGATTATCATGTAAACGAGAGTAATGTCTTGAATCAGATATAATGGTTTGCTCGATATATTCATACCTGAGATATCTGTGATATTCGACATAAGGAATAACGTGCTCTAACTCAATCAAACTCATCTTTAATGACATGATTATAAACAATGGTGCTCATAACGTTATAATCGTAAAGTATAATATATCAATATATGATTTGTCCTTTTCAAACAAAAAAGATATCACTGGATCTTTCGAATGAACAAAACTATGAAATGTGTGGCAGCATTATAAATAATAGTGATCTATTACTTACAATTTAATAATAGTCATCTATTACTTACAATTTGTCCGACTAAAATGAATTGTCTGATACTAAAAGACGATCCAATAATTGGATATCAACTTGCCGTCTTTTTCGTTACGTTGGCAACCTTCAACGTCATGTGGATCCCAGTATAAGAAGTTAACAACCTTAAACATCTCTTAGTGATTCAATTCTAAGTGTCAACAAATCATGGATCTTGTATGTAAAATCAATTGCATGCATATCTGTGTTTTATGGTTTAGAATTATTTTATTTTATTTTACATTCCTTGAGCTATAGAATCGTATATAAAGGATCTTAGAAAATTTAATAATAATATATACTTATATACTATAAAAAAATTTAATAAAATATTTTTAGAAGTAACGCGGTGAATTACATCTATCACGTTGGAATGATTTTATCAATATCACTCCCAATGGGAAATGATCGAAAAAAAAAACTAAAGGAAATATATAAACCTACTCATACCAAAAGTTATAAAGAAAAAAAACATAAGAGTGAAGTCAATTTGGATTAACAAATCCATTTAAACTCAACCCAATTTGATACTTATAAACATGTTTTATGATTGGTTTTGAGTTTCCTTTTTTGATAATCTGAGAGTTTAGGTCTTTATCCCGACTGTCCTAGAGGATTGGAGAAACCGATATGATTATTTTTTTCAAATGAGGACTCGAATACGGGATAGAAAGGAGCTTTTTCCCTTCCATACTGGATGACCACCTAATCATATATTGGTTTTGAGCTTTGTTAAAGATATTTATAAAAAAAATTATTTTTGACGTTTTTTTTACTGTTATAATCCGTGGTGGATCCAAAACTATTTTTATATGGAGACAATAATAATATATGTATAATTTTATATGAATAAGTATAATTTAGTTGTGGATATTTATCAATATTCTTTTGTAATTTTATAAAACTTATAAAAGAAATTAACATTTCTTGATTTATATGGGGTGCCCCAATTCCCCACAACATAGGTCCGCCTACGGTTATAATCCATCGGAACCAAGAAGATCAGTTCCGTTATGAGTATACAAAGAGATTGGACGATATTAAAGTTGACCTCTAATTTATTTTTGAAACGGTTTATATTTTATTTATTTTTCCCAATCGTTTTGTATTTTTATTTTCAATTTAATATATCATTCTCATAATTATGTCTGAAATTCGTTGATTACGTACACCGAACCGATGTTAACGGATGTTTAATATCAATACAACATCACTATTCCTTTTCCAGTTAGGTAAACAAAAAAAAACAAAAGAAATGCTTTATTCGATCAAATAATCCTAGTTATTTTCTGAACCGGACCGGACGGAATGAGACGGATCTAACCCAATACCATCATGCAAAATTTTGGTAAAATTTTTTTTTGTAGAATTAAAATTTTATTTGTTCATACCTCTTTAATTATTTATTCTTATCATGAAACTTACATCAGCAAATTCAAATGGAAAATTATATGTTTTTCATGTCTTAATAAAGGCGGGTGCGTGGGTCCCAGAGTGTGGCGGCTTATGGCCACGTCGCGGATTATGGCCACGTCGGCAGCTCGGGTCATGTTGACAGCTGGATCCTGTCCCCTCGTAGTCCGTTATTCCCACACCATCGTCAATCTATTTTTAGCCCAATATTTCATGAATTATTCAATTTATTTATATTTATATTAATGTTATAACATTTGTCGAAAATATTCAATTGAGAAACATATATAATCGTAAAAATTTACCTTGATGTTGGAGAGATCAACATATGAGGCCTCATCGGAACCTGTTCGGATGAAAAATAAATATACATCATATTATATATACATGTGTGTGTGTGTGTGAATAACCTGTATATACACCGAATTTACTTAATTGAATCGATTTTAATACCTTTGAATAAAAATTATGTTTTTTTTTTGCTTTTGAATATGAGATTAATGATTTTCATTCTTATATATGTTCACATAGCAAATATATAACCGCTCACGTATATGTATATAGAGATATATAATATTATAAAATATTTGATATTATTTACATTTTGCACACCTGATTTTGATGAATTATCATCGTAAAATAAAATAAAAATTAGCTAAAGAATTAAAAATGGAAATATATAATAATAACAGAACAATGTTTTTCATAAATCTCACCACAATAACACAGCGGAAGGAAGAGCAAGTACAGAAAAAACACAACCTTCATGATCAATTTAAACACTTTTAAGCTTTTGTCACTTTTATTGTTGTTGTTGAAAGGCTCCTATTCTATCACCTTAAACAAATGTGTGTGTGTATATATATGTATACATATGTGTGTGTAAATGCATTTAATTTGTAGAGATTGCGAATTAATTCCTTCATTAGAGCGATTCGATTTGACAATTAGTTTTCACAGATTCATAATTATGTCATTCTTCTTTTTGTCACGTTGTTCACAATGGAAGAAGGGGTAAGAATAGAAACAAATTTTTCTCACTTTTTGTTTTGTTATTGAAAGTCTTGTATTACTTTATATATATATATATATATATAATATTATATATATGTGTGTGTGCGCGCGCGCGTTTGTGTATAATGGATTTAATTTTGGAAGATCCTAAATTAATTCCTTCCTGAGACCGATTAAATTTGATTTTTTTTTATGGGTTAGTCACATGTTCAAATGTTGTTTATAGTTTCAATCAAAAGACACTTGAGCATCTACATTTATAAGATAGTTCTTTTTTCACCTCCACTAATTTTAAAGTTGACATTTGGCCCACATGTGGAAATTATTCTAAAATTATATTTTTTACAAAAATTAAGGCTAGTTCTTTTCTTGAAAATATAAATATATTTAAATTTCTTCTTTCTCTATGTATTATATATATATATATATAGTTTTCTTTATAAAATATATTTGGAAGTAATCACCAAAATTATATCATTTTGTAATGTAGTTTTCAAATAGCACTTTTCATATGAGGAGAAATAATACACGCCTCCGATGAAACACCACACCCCAAAATATACCCTCATTCTTTGGTTGTTCCATCACAACAGATGTCCAAAGAAGGGAAATGGAATTTTGTGATTGTTTTATTATTACAAAAGGAAGACTTCGTTATCTTATTGATCAGAATTGACCCAAATATATATACATATATCAAAGAGATAATTAAAGGAAATATAAAGAGGGCAATAACCACAAACGATGGTAGGTTCGAGAAATAGAATTAAAGATGGTTGACTTCCTTGTAACCATCTCACATATATGCATATAAATATTATAATATTATAAAATATCTGAAATTATTTATAGACCCGATTTTGATGAATCCTAAAACAAAATAACAATCAGTTAAAAACAAAAATATTTAAACATGGTAATATATAATATAAACAGATCAAGTTTTTTTTAGTAAATCTCACCATAGTGTTTTTTCTATACTTGCTCCTTCTTCCATTATGTTCTTTTTTTTTTTTAACTAAAAAGAAGAAGATGAACACCATGGAAGAAGGAGCAAGAATAGAAACAAAACCAACTTCATCATCTAAATTTTCTCACTTTTTGTTTTGTTATTGAAAGTAGTACATCACTTTACTCAAAATAGACATGTGTGTATATATAAGTGTCTCTGTGTGTGTATAATGGATTTAATTTTAGAAGATCATAAATTAATTACTTCATGAGACTCATTAAATTCACTTATGTTTTTTTGGTGGATTAGTAATTATATCATTCTTACATTTTGGCAATTTGTTCATGTCTAAATGTTGCTTATTTTTTGGTGATTTGTTCATATTTCCAAACAAAACCAACAAAATTTAACTTGTTTTAGCCACAATTTGGGAAACACCTCCACCCCCGTTTTCTTGCATGTAAATTTAGAGTTTAGAGTGGGTACGTCTCGCTATATATTGCCGCATATTTTTTTAATTATATTTTCTTAAAATTATAGAAAATCAGACTGAATTATTGTTTGTGAGAGAACAAAAGAAAAAAATCTAAAATAATTTTTTTAATTTTTCTGAAACAATATTATTTTAAAATTTTGAAAATTAAATTTTCTAAAACGATATAAACATATATATCTCTTATTTTCATTGTATATATATACACATATATTCCGTATAAAAAAGTTTAATAAAATATGTTTAGAAGTAACGAAGAGAATTATATTTATCGTGTTAAAATATTTTTTTAATATCATTTTCCATGAAAAATGATCACAAAAAAACAAGAAGTTCTTGACGAAATGTACCAAGAAGTAGATATTACTGGTAAAAGAGTACTTAAAAAGTTGTGGTATTTTTTAAAATACATTTTTTAAAAATACCAATAAGACCCTTATACACAACATATATTATTTTTCGAAGAGATTGTCCAAGACAAAATATGCTCTTTCGCACGAATAAACTCTTCAAGACAAGACAATTTCGTCTAAAGGTGTTTTCGAGACGAAATAGTTTCATTCTAGAGAGAACCTCTAGGAAAAAAACAGACTCTATAAGACAAAATAAGTTTTTCTGAACGAAACAGTTTCATTCTGCAGAATCTTCAGGATCAAAACAAACTCCTTACACAAAACAATTTTGTCCTTAAAAAGCCTCATGGACGAAATAGACTCTCTCGATGAAACAATATCATCATGGAGAATCCATAGAACAAAAATCGACTATCTAGTATGAAACATTCTTGTCTTGAAAAGCCATCCCAAACGAAAATAGACTCCTTAGAATGCAGTTTCGTTTTGAACTGCCTTCCGGATGAAAAATATTCTTTCGGACGAACCAGTTTCATCCTAAAAACCCTCCACGATAAAATAAATTATAAAGAATAAAACAGACTCTTTACACTAAAATTTTGTCCCAAAGAGCCTATTTGTGTTACGGATATAACAATTGCATTTTTAGAAATTTAATTAGGATTTAATAGAGAAAAAAAATTGGGAAGAATTGATAATTTGGACAAAGATTTTCATCATAAAAAAAAAGTTCAAAATAATTAAAAAAAAAAGAGGTCTAGAAAATATGGGGTTAAATTGTAAAATTTTTAGGGTTTTTTTAAATCCATCATTTATCTCTCTTTTTCTTCTACCGCCGTGCACTATCTCACATGTCCTCTCTCTTGTTATTTCTCACGCTCTCCCACAACCCTTTCGCAGTTAAAAACCTCTATCTCTCTCCTATCACCCCCTTGCTTCCTCTCTTTTGCATTCACGAGACATCATACTCAATCTCTCTCTCACACATGTCACTTTCTCACTCTCTCTCACTATATATCTCTCTTTTCTCTCCATGTCTATATATATATTCATCATCTTTTATTATTATTACAAAATATCATCATCATCTCTACCGTAGTACTCATTCTTCTTCTAATTATTAATATAATTATTATTACTATTATTATTTTCTTTTTCTTCCACACTACAGATTAGATCCATTTAATTACATGAAAAAAAAGATTAAAAACATGCGTTTTTTTTTCAAAGTCAAAATATACAGATTTTGTTTTAAAAAAAATAAAATAAAATTTAACGAGTATATTTATGATTTAGATTATTAACCGTTAATTAATTATAGGTGAAGAAAATCTCGAGATTGTTGAAACCGGGATCGAGGATTAGAGCGAATCTTCCGGGGTTCATCGTTTATACCGAGGTGAGGAAACTCGACAGAACTCCTCTTTCTTCTATTCGCTTAGACATGATGATAGGGAACATAGATATCACACAGATAGGACTTTAGGATAGACGCCTTAAATTTCTTGCGGATTCATGATGTATGTTGATTGAGGATTGATGAATGATGATTAATGATTGATAATCGATGATTGATGAATAATGCATGATGATTGATGATTGATAAATTTCTATTGAGTGATTATGACTTATGACGTATATTATGTAATGACGTTTCTTAATAGATTATTAGACCGTTAGAATGAGTTAAACTTTTGATATTAAATAAACTTTGGCATGATGTTTGGAAAGATGGGAGAAGTAAAGAATTGAGTTAGGGACTAGGATGTGACCTCAAACTGTGCTAAAAATATTTTAAAAGTGAGTTTTGAGACCATGGTACGGCGGCGATCCGTATGTGATGGTATGATAACAACCCGGGCATGGCAGCGATCCATGTGGAGTGATAACCCCGACCACAGCAACGATCCGTAGAGGGTTATTGCTATTGGTTGAGTTTTGAGGCCATGGTACGACGGCGATCCGTATGTGATGACATAACGACCCGGGCATGGCAGTGATCCATGTGGAGTGGTAACCCCGCTACGGCGGCGATAGAGGGTTATTACTATTGGTCGTGTTTTGGTAACCCCGACTACGGCGACGATCCGTAGAGGGTTGTAATGATATTTTTGGTTTTGTTTTATAGAAAGAGTTTTAAGCTAAGTCTGGGGGGTACTGAATGGTCCTAGAGTCTGGACTCATTTTAAAGAATCGAATAAAGAAAAGTCAGTAAAAGAACGTGAATTAATAGATTGACTTTTGCTTGAGTTGAAAGTTGATTGAATTTGTTTTCTATTTGATTGTCTATGTTGGGTAGGGAGGCGAGGTTTATAGTCTTGCAACTTCACTGAGGTATTCGCGTAGCTCACCCCTTCCTTTTTCCCTA